GCAATTTGTTTTACAGCATTTAAGCTCCAAGCGTGGCTTAATAGGGGAGAAGCCTTTGATCAAACAATAAAAAAGCCAGAGATGAGCAATAGTTGTACCCAGGTCACAGTACATTTACCAGTTTATACTACTACACACCTACTTCTTCAGGTACTATCTTCAGATTCACACGTCATAGGAAAATCTTTTTTGCTAGCCAACTGAATTTAAAACACACACCCACACACACTTTGGATGAAAAAAATCCACCATGCCAAAATTGTGTCCGGACATTTAGAATCAGTAAAGAGAGAGACGACTTCCCTCCTAAAATTTTGAATGTGTTCCTCACCTTGTCTTCAAAGAAGCAGATTACATCAACTGAGAACTTGGTCCTCATTTGCTTTGGTTCAGACCAAAGACCCTTATGCTTATCCATACTGTAAGCACATCTGAATGGCAAAAGTCAGAAATTCCTCTATATGTTAAGCATCAGTGCAAAAATGTATTAGCATTTAGTGGCAAGAGCTCTGGACCAGTGGTGCCAAGGGAATAATAGCATGCATTGATGCTAAGTTTTTATTAGAACTTGTATGCACTTATCTACACCACACCGCTTTTGAAGATTCTCACATTCTGGGGATGCATAAAAGATGACGCATTGTTTTCTTAAGAGGCATTGTTCCACACTTTTGTAACAGGCTGAACCGTTTGGCTGATGGACAACTCACTTTAAAAAAAAAAAAAGCACACCTTCTGTAATGGGGCAAACAACTGTTTCAGTCTAAAACATGGAATGGAAATTTTGCAAGGAAAAAACTTCATAGCTTGACAATTATATATCACAACACAAAAAGAGTCCTTTCTTCCAGCAAATGTCATTTATTTTCAAAAAAGATGATAAAAAAACTGACATAAAACAAAATGCTTAAAAATTAAACCTAAGCTCTTCCCCTCCCCCCAAAATATAGAATGGTAAAGGCAAAATCATTTAAATCATTTCCTTAGTAATACAAGTAATATTTAAATAGATTTAATAGTGCTGCTCCAAACCAATGAATTATGAGTTTAAAACCTATTAAAATGTAATGTTTTTTTCCTGAGCTGAGGGGAGAGAGATTTAAATCCACTGAATTTTAATATTTCAGCTTGAGCTGCAGGAGGTAGAGAAAGTCCAAATGAACTATTCCATCAGCACCATTCAAGCATGAACATTTTAATCAGTTTTACTTCCTTGGAGTTCTCTAACACAGTTTACGCTGTCATTCTGAAAGCACTTAACACAGAGAGTGTGAAAAACCACCAAGGCTTGTTATTGCCTTCACAATTGATGGCAAATAATTTTGCAGACTTCCTATCATTAAAATGTCACTGCTAAAAATTGAGGTTCAGCATTTCTTGTGCTAAACTGCATTTTCTTTGAACACCATCACATACCTGTTCTTAAGTTTTTGGTACATTTATCTCTCTGTATGTAATAAACAGGCATATAAACAGTAGCCTCCATTTCTGTCTTACAACCTAAATGCAGCTGAACTTATACATATATACAATTTAAAAATGCTAATTAAAGAAGCTCAAACAACAACAAAAAAATCATACCCTGATAAAATTCTTATAAAGTTGCAAGTAAATTCCCCCGTTCCCTTATTAAAATGTTACCAATTCACACAGCATGTTCTGACAATATAGTGTAATGCATTAAAAACAAAACAAAACAAAAAACATTTTAAGCAAGTTACATGACTCAATTTAATAATACAGGAAATGAAAACATCATTCCTAATTAGATCATATTGCTACTGATTTAAGACTACAATTTCTGTGTTGTTCCAACAGTGTGATCTTGCAGTTCAATTTAAAAACACAGTAGCTATGACATGACAAGATCAACTGGATACATATAATTCCTTATCTCAACAGAACAAACTTGGAATGGTTACTAAAAAAAAAAAAAAAAAAAATAGAAATTACTCAAAGTAAGAAGTCTGAGCAACAGTGCAGTCTACCACAAACAACAGATCCAAAATCTGGATTAATCAGAGTCAAAAACAATTTTCTGATATATTTATGATATCTGGAGATCCTTTCCCCTATTTCTTTGGGAGGGAGGGAGAGAAGATGGATGATATTTAACTTGTTTCAATCTGTCAATAGTTTTAAACTGAACATGACCTGTGAAAGAAGTCATTATAACTGTGTTTCATTCCATTAAACACAACTAGTTTATTGTCAAGAGAACAAGCAGTCTCTCCAGGTTCCAGGCTCACTTCAGTATTTTGCATTTAAACTGCATGGATCAGTGATTCGGTTCATTTACCAATTAAAGTAGAATAATATTGCAAAGTTAAAAAGGTGCTTCATCAGATTTCATTAAATCAGAGTACATGCATGTAAAAATGTATACGAGACAGAGAAAGACATGATTTGTGCATATTCATTTTTTTCTTGTGCCATCTTTTACTCTGAGAGAACCCCACTTCGAAATTCTAACCCAAGGTTCCCCCATTCAAACTAAAGGAGCTTTTGCCTGCAATGAGGTGAAATGAATGATGCAGAAAATACTACCATTACTCCTAACTTTTTTCTGACAGAACTGAATGAATGAAAAGATATTCTTAAAAAAAAAACAAAACTGAAGCGCTGTGGATCCTTTTAAAATACGGTGTTACAAACAGAACTCTCAGACTTAGTAGAGTGCAAACTAGTATAAAACAAAGAGGACAGTTAAAAAACTAGTAAAATCTAATTATACTCTGCTTTTATTGGTATGCATTTTACTAAGTATGTCAGGCTTTTAGTTCTACAACTACATTTTCCAACCTGTTTTTAAAAAAATTCTTGCCATTTTCTGTGTGGGTGTTTTCTCTACTATATATCACACACACCCACCCACCCACCCAGGGTTGCGGGGAGAAGGGTGAGACCAATTGATTGGTTAACTATGCAACTAGAATTTCAGCTCTTTTGATAATCTGCTACCCCATTTAAGAATTTTTAACAGAAAATTGTCAAAAGATAAAATGTCATTATTCCCCTTATGTAATAATGTAAATTATATAAACAGGATTTTTTTTTTTCAGTCAGGATCAGAAATAACCCAAATCAGTCTAAAACTACCGTGTGCACAGGAAGTAAAAAATAGGAAGTATAGCAAGTAAAAATGATTTTTTGGGGTGGGAAGAGGTGATGATCAGCAATCATTCTTTTTAAAGCCAAAAAAAATTATAGCCCTTATGAAATTTGGGCCAGGAACACTTTCGATTCAGTAAGAGACAGAATAGGATATTTAGTTCTTCCCTTTCAGAGGGTGAAAGGATCATCAGGCTCCTGAACAAGCATCTAGTCTGCTTATATTTCTTCTGTATACTGTCATGATTCGTGAAAGTAGGATAAACTTTAAACAACTGCACTCTGCAATATGCAACAGTGTCATACATTCCATGTCAACAGCAGACTCACTAGTAGAAAGCACATACATGTTTACAGCCTTTCCAATAAATATACTGCTGAATGGAATACACACACACACACACACACACTAATATATATAGATATAGAGAGAGAGAGAGAGAGAGAGAGAGAGAGAGAGAGAGAGAGCGCGCGCGCACAAGTGCACAGAATGCAGTGTATACATACATACCTTCTTTAAAAAAAAACAACCTTTAGCAACTTACTTTATACAAAGAATGTTAATAGGCAGTATTTTTGGTTAGGTAATGAAAACTAATTGGGAAATTATTCATCTCCCACTCTCCCCACTGGAGCATAAAAGACATACAACAAATGTTATTCATGATTCTACACGACTCGCTCTGATTCATCCCCTTCTTTCCAAGGGGCACTTCAGAGGAAATAAAGGTTACTCTTTTCCATTTATATCTTCTAATTGACTACCAGTATTTTCTTGTGGTCAGAGGGATACAAAATAGAGTAAGAAAGAGCCTATTAAAAACAAGCTACAATCAGACCACAGCTCTACGCTACCGTCAGCAATGATCAGAGGGCCCTGATTTCCTTGTTAAAAGACAGAGGCATAATTGAAGCAATATCTTCACTTCAGATTGATTATTTGGCGACCCTTATCCACATCTTCACTCAGCAATTTGAATTTTAATGAAAGTAAATGGAATAATTAGCATTTCAAAGTGTGTTTGATACACTGAATAAAAAAATGGAAAAGACTTATGTATAATCTATACACAAAAGAAAAAGCATTGGGGGGGGGTAGAGTAAGAAAAGTACAGTTGTAGTATCTTCATTAGAATAACTTAAACAAGTGCTTGCACCAGCTGAATAATTATAGAAGTGAATAATGTGTTATTAAGCTATGATTTCTCACCTATATTTTATGTAGTGTGAACACAACCAATGTTTCATTGTTTTTCTTTTCCTCTCGAGTCATAAAATGTAAACATCATGCCTACCCAAACCCATAAAAATCTTGCATGATTTTTATGCTAAGCTAATATCGTTAGCAGCAAAGTTTTTATAAAAGAAGGTTTTTAACTTATTTATTCTTTTTAGATACACGGGAGTAGTGTCTCTCTCTCTTAATTTGTGAATGACCATTCATCTCTAGATTTTGTAGGAAAAAAAATCTGTTTTTATTAAAATTATTACTATTTTTTTTAAACCCTACATTTGTCTATTTTTGCCCCCCCCCGTGCGCTAAATTGCAAAGACAGGTGTGAGAGAAGCATGTCCTTATTAAAAAAATACTTTAAATCGAATGCCACCTGTACCGTCGCTGTAGAGGCAGACTGAATATAGTGCCATACACAACATGAAACAATTTTAATGGGGGGAAGGAGAGGGAATCACATCAAAAAAGAGTATGTACTTTGTGTAGTGTCTTGTACCCTTAGGGGCAAGAGCACAATCGAAACTTAAGTCAAATAACTTGGTTTCATTGCTATTCAAAACTTTGCTCAGCTGATGGATCTAAATTTAAAGATGGACAGAAAGAAGGAAAAATTAATTACAAACACTAGGAGAGCTAAAATGGAAAGACCACGTACCCCAATGATTGCGTTCAGTTCTGCCATGGTCACTTGCTTGGCCCGTTCCACAGCCTGCACCACTTGTTGCTGGTGCTATAAATGAAGATCAGAAACAGAATAAAATTATTTGCTTTCCAATCAATTAAGCACAGATTTTTTTTCTTCCTTCTTTCAAAAAGAAAAAAAAAAAAAAAAAAGTCTTTCAACCACATGCAGGGCTTGTAATAATAGTTCTCTGAATAGACAGTAAAATTCTCAATGGATGAGCATGAGCAAAGGTGGGGAAAATTTTATCCAAGTCATTACCTGCCTGGAATTAAACTAAAGCCCCCTCCCTTCTCTAAAGTGAGCTAGTTCAAGACTGAACTACTACCTTTAAAGAAAAAAACAACCTGATCAAGAAAATGCGCTTCTATTGAGCATGTGTCCCCTCCTAAAATACAGGCCCATCTACTTAAAGAAACCAACTTTTCAAATAAAGATATGTTCTGATAAGGAAAGGCTTGTTTTGTTACCAGCTATACTGTTCTCTCTTTAGACAAGGAAATGCTGACTCCCCTTCTTCATATTTCAAAGCAGCTCAACCATGGGAAGAAATTTTAAAACTTCATTCACAAGTCTATCAAAATGCTGAAACAGGGTTAATTATTTCAATCCCTGACACGTAAGCTTTAATAGTTTACAAAAGTCCATAAAGAAAGCACATGAGCTAATTAACAACACCGTTTACAAGCTTCAACAGTTATATTATCTTGCTTTGAGCAAGACAGTATTTCAGTAGTCAATTCAGGATGGTTGAAGACTGAAAACTGATGGATGTTTGTTTGACAACATTGATTAAAAGAAGAATTATTTCCTAATTCTGGAGTTATATGACCTATGTTTCTTTGGAGCTTCATTGAACGTCATCTATCTGTTCTGGTCAGCTGGAAGAACCAGGGACTACAGTTCACTAATTTTTTCACCAACACCAGACTAAGGTGTGGGGACTGGAGATGTTGTAGACAAACCTTTGGCCTGTGTGGGGATGCATCATCCCTTATTTATAGGCAGAGGTTAAATAAAGGAAAGTGTTTTCTTTACATCAGGAGAGTGTATTAAATATAATGGGGTCTTTATACAGTGAACAACTGTTCACTAGGGCACTCCCGGGGAAGACGAGGACCAATGGATACAAACTCCTGGAAGGCTGCTTCAGGCTTAATACCAGGAAAAACTCCTTCACAGTCAGGGTGTCCAGACTGTGGAATAAACTCCCTGCAGAGGCAGTGCAATCACCTACCCTGGAGGTTTTCAAGAAGAGACTAGATCTGGGGCAGGCAATTATTTCGAGCGGAGGGGCACTTACCCAGTTTTGGCAAGCTGTTAAGGGCCGCATGGGTAGCCCCGCCCCTTGACAGGTGCCCCGCCCCCTGGTCACCATCTTGGGACCAATGTCCCAGGGCCAGCACCGGTGGGGCCCAAAGCGGGCCACAGGCTGGCAGGGGTCTGTGAAGCCGGGCTGGGCTGCACCAGCAGGGGGAGGGGGGAGCTGGCCTGGCTCCACAAAGTCCTGCAGGCTGGGACCCCGCGCTCCTGCCACCCTTCTCTGGGCCCTGCCAGCGCTGGCCCCAAGACAAGTGCTGGCCCTGTGCACCTGCTCACTCCGTACCCCCAGCCCCGCGGTACAGGCAGGGGGCAGCATGCAGCCCTGACCCCCCTGCTTGCTAGCAGGGAAAGAACTGGTGTAGAGCACGGGGGAAAAGCGGCCCCCTCCCCTGTGCCCTCTGTTGCAGCCACTCGCAGCCTGTGTGGGGCTGCCTGTACCTGCTCAGGAAACACCCCATGCAGGCTGCGAGCAGCTGCAGCAGGGAGCGCCCGCCACGGGATGGGGGAAGGGCCGCTTTCCTCCATGCTGGGAAGGAGCAGGGAAGGAGCCCGGTGAAGAGCCGAGCATGGGGAAAAGTGGCCCTTCCCCTGCCCTATGGCCGGCGCTCCCTGCTGCAGCCACCCACAGCCTGTGTAAGGCAGTCTTGAGCAGGCACAGGGAGCCCCACGCAGGCTGCCAGCGGCTGCAGCAGGGAGCACCGGTCATGGGGCAGGAGAAGGGCCGCTTTTCTCCATGCTCAGCTTTTCCCTGGTCTAGTTTTTCCTGCCCAGGGTCCTCTCCTGCCCCCCCCACCCTTACCTGAGGTTCTGGCACAGCGCAGCCTCGTGGTCCCTGCTGGGGCTTCCGGCTGGGGGGGCAAGGTCAGGCAGGCCCTGCTGTTGCATGAGCCCACTGGGCTTCCCCTATGTCCTACTGCTCCTGGCTACTGTTATTTTTGACAGGAACCAAGGGCAGATCAATATTAATTTTCTAAATTTTTTAGGGGCCCTGCAGGCCAGGCCAGATAGAATGGCTCTGCAGGCCTGATCCGGCCCATGGGCCGTATTTTGCCCACCCCTGGGACTAGATAGTCACCTCGCTGGAGTCACCTAACCCCAGCTGTCTTCCTCCCTACTGCACGGGGGCTGGACCCAATGATCTGTGAGGTCCCTTCCAGCCCCTAACAATCTATAGTGTACAGACACGGGAGATGTCAGCTCTCTATTGTACTTGGAAATTAATACCCAGATTAATGTTGTATACCAAGTTCACCAAAGTACAGGTGTGTCGCATCTTATGCAGGGGCTAGCTTCCGAGGTCAGCTCGTAAGGCAAAAAAAATCGCGCTTAGTCAAATCGCCAGCGATTTGACTAGTGGAGACTGTCTCTGCCTCCAAAACCTCCTGCTGCCACCGTGGAGCCGTGCTTTCCCAGACCCTTCCTGATTTAACTTAAACCAGAGTCCCCCAGCATCCCAGATGCTTTGTAGCCCTGGGCAGGGCTCTTTGCTCCACAGAGCAGGGCTGGCCCTGCCCTTCCCCCGCCCCTCCACCCAACCACTCCCTGCTCAAGCAGGGATCCCCTCCCTCCCGTCTCCCAGAGCATGTGGTATGCATGCTGTTGCTGAGGTGTCTGTGTAAGGCAGGCAGGACAAAGGCAGGCTGGCAGTGTCCACTGAGGGCTTTTAGGAGCTAATTAACAGGTAGCTGGTAATATTCTTCCATTCCTTCCTTGGAAAAAGCTGTTTATGAAGATCTTGAACTAAATGAGAGATGCTTTTGTTTTGCTGATGGGCTGATAAATGCTCTGTTACCAACCCCCTGTGCAACTCCCTGCTACGTAAGTAAATGCTGTGCAACTCTGTGCTGGCTCCCTCACTGGTCAGGAGCAACAAAGGGTGGGGGGAGAGAACCCATCCCTAATCAGAGCATACTGCCTAGACACCCCCATCCCCTCAGCTCAGCACTATGGAACGGAGGGAGGGCTGCTCTAGTGTCCCTCGGGTTCTAGCTTGAGCCACCGCAGGCATGTGCCAGCATTTCTGGGGTGTCTGTACAGTTATAAACCAGTTTAGCCTAAGCAGGTTAGACTAACCTGCAAAAATTAAATGAATTCAGGCTCAGGTTTTTTTTTGAATGTCTGTCCCTAGCCTTAGTGGCTTCCCTAAATCATGCTAGAGACACCCTGAATCTTAAAGACGGCGGTGGCAGCAGCAGCAACAATAGTAATAGTAAGAAGAATGATAAATAGTAGTAGTAATAATAATAATAATAAAGCTATTTTAAAAGGGCATCCCCTCTCACAAAACACTCTGGAGTACTGAACTTTTTTCTTTTTTTTTTTTTTTAATTGTAGTAATCAAAGACATACCAACACCAAAGGAGTAAATAAAAGCAACCAATACAATAAACAATGATGGTAGAAATTTAGACCTCTATAAAGATAAAATTTTAGATTGTATATGGTAACAGATTAAATGAACTGGCTTGTGAAACATGGGAAGCAAGTTTCACATGGTCAAACATAACCAGGACCAATCTCTGAGCTTACAAGCAAGCAAGCAAGCAAGCAAGCATTCGTTAGGCAGCCAACACATAATGGACTAAACATGAACGTGACAGCTCAAACTTATGAGTAATCACACTGCCACATTCAAAACAAGTTGCAAATAGTGTCACCATTGCTGATAAAAAGGGAATTCAGACACTTTAGCCTTAAGGTCACAAGAGTATGTGTTATCAGGGCTAGGCCATTGCATGATAAGTAAGGGCATAATCTATGCAAATCAGACTAGAAAGCCACATTTTTAACCACATTTGACATAAGATGTTCTATGGACAGGCAATGTGACATCAAGATTTTTTAATTTGACACTCAACCTCCAGAAAACAATTCAGCAGCTGGCAGCCAGTTCTCCCTTCCTCCCATCTTTCTTGCCCCAGACAACTGTCCCTCTTTGCACAAAGGCAGAGAACAGAATTTAGCCTGTTATTTGGAAGGGAGGGGAGGGGGGGCATTTTGTTTCCAATAATATTATTTATGTACAAAATAAAGAGAAATACAACCATGTTAAAAGATTGGGCTCTGTGGATATGTGCCTTCTCTGTGACTTTCAGTCCTTTTAATTCAGAATAGCAAGATTCTGAATTTGAGATAAGGTCTATAATATTTCAAAAATAGAACTTTTTTTTTTCTAAATACAATCCTAGCAAGAGTTAAACAGAACAAAATCCCCCTCACAAATACATGTATAGCAAAGAAAATGTTATGGAGTGTGACAAGGCAAATGGCAAGGCTGTCAGGAAGAGACTTTGCAAACACCTTTATCAAGAGTTGGCTTAAGAAGCACTAAGGTTACTATAGTAAAAAAACTACAAAGTTCTTCCACATTTTGCAAAAACAAGCCACCCCTCTGCCTACATGGCTTCCCCTCACCAAACACAAAAACTGAGCTTCCACAAAGGATCCGAGACAAAATGTCATTCCATTCCTTGGAAGGAGAGAGGGATCTCAAACATCAAAAATTCAACGAGAAATAATTTCTTGTTTTTCTGCTTTCCAAACCTTACTTTTTCCCTGTCCCCAATCATTGGTATCTAAACTTCAAGTCTCCTTTAAGTCTATATAAAATTCTTGAACAACTAAGTAAGAATAATATTTTATTAGGATCTGATCCAAAGCACACAAATCTTTCCACTGTTTCTAATGGGTTTTAGACCAGGTCCATATAATAAGGAAAGAATACA